TTATTAATATTTTACTAATTACAAATAGAATTTCATTTTAAAATTTTATAAAAAAATAAATCCGATGGGCGGCGCTCTATCGAGATAATTCGTGTGACGTGCCGTATTGATTGTGGTGGTCGCCATATTGTTAACAGGAACGTGAGTATGGATTCAGTTTTGCTCGAACCGACACTTCAGTGTGTCAAAGCTATAACTATCCTGGACAACGATGGCAATCGAATTTTAGCCAAATATTACGACGATACTTTGGCTTCGTCAAAAGACCAGAAAAAGTTCGAGAAGCAATTATTCAACAAGACTCAGAAGGCCAATGCTGAGATCATTATGTTGGATGGTTTGACGTGTGTTTACAGAAGTAGTGTCGATCTATATTTCTACGTAATGGGCAGTTGCCATGAGAACGAATTGATTCTTGCAAGTGTTCTTAACTGCTTATACGATTCAGTCAATCAGATCCTACGAAAGAACGTAGAGAAACACACGCTACTAGAGAATCTAGATATCATCATGCTGGCTCTGGATGAGATTTGTGATGGGGGTATCCTTTTAGAAGCCGATCCCACTGCTGTGGTGCATAGAGTGGCTTTAAGAGTGGAAGATATGCCTCTTGGCGAACAGACGGTTGCCCAAGTGTTACAGTCTGCTCGAGAACAGTTAAAGTGGTCCCTGTTGAAATAGCAACTGCCGAAAGTATTTTGGTACATGATGGTACATACTTCTTTGCAACATTATCGTCGTACATGTGTTAACTTGTTAATTCAACTTTATTTATATATTTTGCTGTTTAATATAAAGCAATTCTGATTCTAAGAAAAATGTGTTTTATTAGTATTTCATGTTTCAATAGAAGACACAATATTTTATCTTGCTAATGAAAATTGTTAATTATTATCAGATAAACTGTATTTTGTATAATGATACAAATGCAACATAAATTATGTGAATAAAACTTAAAAAGTGTTCATTGTAATGAATTTGTCTTTAATTTTTATAACAATAAATGGTTAATGTTACCTATGGTGCCAAAATGCCAGTGCTTTGGGTTAGGTTCGTTTCGTTTCCGTTAGATTAACTATATTTTTAGTAGATGTTTCCTTTTTTTTATTTATTTTGTTCAAGAACTACCATGAATCAATAACTAGAGATGTTTGGCACTCGGTGGCCTGCCAGCAGCTGTCGAGTGTCAAATATGGACTGTTCTGTCTGGACCATGAACAGTCGGAAGCGCTGCCATTTTTTCACCATAGGTAACATTAACCCAATAAATACAATTTTAATATCAATTATTGTATTAAGTAACCTCATATAAGCAAAAAAAAATTAAATTGTGAAAAGAATTTGCACAATTTGTTTTTGGTGTTGGAGGAGTTTAAAAATTTTGGTGTTCATAATTATTTTGAACATACCTGTATTCAGTGTGTGACAGTTGATTTTAGAAAAAATTAGTTTTTAAAAATTTGTTTATTCTATTTGTACTGTAATAAATTAGATTTTCAAAAAATTTGTTAAGTGGAAATTAAGATCTACACAGGTTTTTCTAAAAGTTAAATTTCATAGTATGTGTGAGCACACTACACTACTGTGCATATGTTTATATAAATTATACAATGTTTAAGATTTATAAATAGAATTATTATACTTTATGTATAAACTATAGCATTATTATTGATATAGTTTGGTACATAATCTAAGACTATAGCAAGGTAAACCCTCCAGGAAGTAAAGATGGTAGTGACAAATTATGATCCATAACTTGTAGATTGAAAGTATTATCAGCTTTTCTTGTTGCTGTCATTCATCTATTTCTTTCTAGTTTGAAGAAATATAATTTGTGTGAAATTTTGTTAATAGCTGAATTTACAAGTTAACAGGGATTTTGATGTTTGTCACAAAATTTGCTGTCACTGTTTATTTAAGATCATTGTTATTTAAAACATCAAAATTTCTGTTGTTATTATTTTCTTATAGTTAAAAATTTCTTACATATGCGTTTTGATTGATCGGAATTGGATAGTGGTAGTAAAAGTAAGAAAAAGTCTTCAAAATAGATAGAGTAAAGGTAGATTGAATATTTATAGAATATTGATTTGCTAATTTGTTCAATAAAATCTTTATTCACTGATTACATGCATGACAAAATAAACTTATTTATCAAAGGTCTATCTCAATGGGAGGCATTTCGTATGGGTGAAAGATAAATATGGGAAATGATGCCATTTAAAACTTTGAATACCATGATTTGACATAAAAATTAAGGTGAATTTCATCATAAAGATTTATAGCATGTTCAGAATACACTAGTCTTCAGCTTTAGATTTATTCCTTCAAAGTGGTAGAAATAAGTTTACTAACTAGTTAAAAATTTTGACTAGTTGAGCTGTGAATGCATATCTATTCAAAATTATAATGATTAAGTTAAGAAAATCAATACCAAAAAGTTTTAAGGAGTGTTAAGAAGTCCATGTCATATATTTTTTTTTCTGGAAATGAAGTTTATTTTTATCAATTTAAAATAATTTATAATTTCTAAATTTATTTAGATTTTACACTAGTCTTCACATTAGGTTTATTCCTTCAAAGCAGTAGAAACAAGTATTATTTAGAAATTTTTTTTAGAAATTATAAATTACACTCTACATTCTAAAGCATATTCTGTTATAAAGGAGCATCCTATTTTGAACTAAGATAAAAATGATTGAAACAAAAAATTAATATTTTTCTTTTTTTTTTTGCTTTGTGCCTTTTAAGTTGAGTGAATTACAATGTAATTTTATGATTGTAAAGACATGAAAATATCTGGAAAGTTGCAAACTGTAAAATCATATAATTTGTTTATTTGCACTAACCAAAGTTTTTATATAAAAATATACATTATTTGCAGTTTCACAAAAAAAAATCCATCCCAAACTGATATGGAGAAAGATTCTTAATTTATCCAAATGTTTTTGCTATTATTTGAAAGAATTTAAAGAGGCAACTTATTCATTTCTTCAAACTCCTTGAATGTGTTTTATATTTAAATTAGTTACATTTCTTTAATATATATAGAAAATATGGTATGTCTTTAAAAATGTTTTGGATTTAGGTTTATGATGATTATTCATGAATATATAGAATTTAGAGTTATAAATCTAATAATAAATACTTAAATTTTTTAAGAATTAATTTCCCTATTCATTAATTTTATGCATTTATCTTACAGGAATTGCAACTAACTGAAGGTTCAAGAATATTTAAAATTTGGCTTGATCCACCAGTTCCATTATATTTGAAAATACATGTTTTTAATATAAGTGTTCCCAGTGATGATATTAGAAATGTTGTGTTTTCAGACATGGGACCATACGTGTATAGGTAAGAGTTATATGTAATTATTTTTAAATCAAATATCTAAAATAATACTATAAATTTACAAAAAATGAAAAAACTCCAATATTACATATTCCATAAATTCAAAACTTTGCTTTGTTTGAGTCATTAATTTAATGGTACTTAACTGATGTTACTGAGCTTTACTAAAGCAGAATTTTAACTTTATATAGTATAATTATTTTAAAATATTAATAAAATTATCAGTTTGATTTTGATATTTTCTAAAAGACCTGCATACATTCAGAAAAAACTATTTTTTTGGAATGGTTTTAAATTTGACAGAGGGAAAAAGAGAATTGTATAGAGAAAAAAAGATAATTTCAACTAAAAAAATCAGTGTTATATGTTTAAACATATTTGATATTAGTACGTTATTTCTTACGAATGAAAAAATAATAGCTGTCAACTGTATTATGCAATATATATACTTAATTATATATTAACAATGTAAGTATGGATAGTTGGAACACAAATTCTAAAAGTTTTTGCTTTATGCTATGTATTATTTTGTGTTTGGTTTCTACTTATACCAGTATTAATTAATTATTTTATTTATTATAAGTTTTATATTTTTATTTTTGAAAAAGCTTTTTCTTATTCATATCTTCCTATATAAAATCTTGAAAAAGTTGTTTATAAAAATATTTTCAAAATTGACAAAAATGTGTGGAAGAGATGTAGTAAACTTAAAAATGTAAAAAAAAATTACAGGTAACCACCGTATAACACGGCACTTCTATAGCACGGATTCACTCTAACACGGTTTGAGAATTGGTACCATCCCCTGTATAACACGGTACTTTTATAGCACGGATTCACTCTGACACGGTTCGAGAATTGGGTAAAACCCTTGTACAACAGGAAATGTAATAAATTTTTACATACTTAAGTAATAATAGTTCACGAAAATTATTATTTTCATGAACTATTAGTACTTAAGTATGTAAATTTTCTTTTCTCGCCTTCTGTCAATACACGTGGTCCTTCTCGAAACTTGTTTCAATGTTGCCAGATTGCGACGCTTCTGCTTCTGATGTTGCCGAATGTTTTTCCCTTATTCCATATTTGCTTTATTCTTCATAAGTGCTTAGCACCATATAAGGAAATTTATAAAGACCTTTTAACTAGAAGCAAGCAATCTAAAATTACATGCACTTTTTGCAAAAGGTAAAGCATGGATCTGAAGATAATGCAGAAAAATGCTCAGAGGATAAGGATAACTTGCCAAAAAGAAAACGCCTAACCCTCCTTTTCGTATTAGTTCTTTGTTTCGTATAACACAGATTCGCATAACACGGCAATTTTTTGGAATGTAACTACCGTGTTATACGAGGGTTACCTGTATATGGTGATGAGTTTTGAATTAAAAAATTATACTGTTTTTGATAAAATCATCAGAAAAATTTGGAAATAAGAAGTAATGATAAATACTTGTAGCTATAATTAACTTTGGGTGTAAAAACTGTGTTTTCAACATTTTAATTTTATGGAAGATGTTAGTCAATGAAATATCTTTTATTTTATGCAATATATTGTAAACAAATTAGATGGATTATAACAATATCATTTTATGTAGTATATATGATATTTTATTTTAGTTCTGTCTAGTAGCAATGCTTAATCTTGTGGATTTGATTTAAGCAATCAGTATTTATTATTACTGAAACCAGCACAAATCAACAATTTAATTTTTAGACAGAATTAGATAACCCAACAAATAGGGTATAACGTTTTGCAGGGCTTATCACACCAAGGCCGACTGGAAGAAGGACCAGAATTTTATAAAAAAGGTTTGGTCTTTAATAATCACATATCAAATTTAGGTAAGTATGCAGCCCTGCAAAACGTTATACCCTATTTGTTGGGTTATCTAATTCTGTCTAATTTACAGTCGCGGGCAAAAAGCGTTGTTTATTATTAATTTTACCCATTAACTATATGCAATTTCACTTGCATGCAATGATTTCTTGGAATGAATTAGCCTAATATGAGAATATTTTACACCAAAATAAATGTATTTTTTTACAATTCAATTTTGATATTTGCTTTTCTGCAACAGTTTATTCATAATTTTTTATAAATAGAAATGAATGATCAGTAGGATAATTTATCATTGGATACAAAGTAATATATGATACATTATATTTTGAAAATTTCATATGTTTAAAATGGTTGATTTACAATTGAAAGACCACAGTCATTAAATTTAAGAAAGAAAAATGAATAGCAAGTTTCTTCAATTGAAGAATCAATTGATATTGCTATTGTAATGGATCAAGATTTTACTTTTCCTGTATATATCAATAATTATCTTTATATGTTTTAAGAGAAATACCTCAAATTTAATTCCAAAGTATAAAAATGTTAGTAAAAAAACTTGTAACATGTTTGCTAAATTGAATACATTAACGTTTTTCTGTTTTTCTTATATTTGAAATAGAATGTAAAATGCATTTCAAAACATTTTGACAAATCAATTTTAATTGATAACAGTAATAAAATTAATTTAAAAATTTAAATAGTTTAAATAAACAATTAGCTTAAACTATTTTTTTTTTTTTGGGAAATAAAAAATTTAAAATTTATAACTAACTGTTCTCTAATTAAAGTTACCATCATATTCTTATTTGTTTAAAACTGTTCTTTATGAATTTCTATTTATTCAAATTAATCTTTACTAATAAAACATCCTGAAAAGATAACAATTCTGCAAATTTAACTGTCTCCAAATAGAAGAAACATGCTTCTAGAATAATTGTTTTGAAAGAGAAATAATTTCTAATAATAATGAACAAAAAAATCAATATAGTGAATGAATAATTCAGAATTAAACATCATGTTTGATTCCATAGAGAATACTTTTCTGACAGTTAACAATTTTTAAAATGTGACTAATGATTTCAATGATCCCAATATTTATTTGTTTTCTGAGAAGAGTCAATCATATCACAACTGACAAAACAATTTTTTAATAGTGGAATGGTGCTAAAATATATTTTTCAAATAACTATTAAAAATTGACTTATATAGTTTGAAAATTATTATAACAACAGAATCTCAGTAATTTAATGGGAAAAACTANTAATAATAATATAATTTTTAAAATATTGAACACCAATATAATTAAATTAAGCTTTTCATTACTTGCACTAATTTCCACTGTATTCTTCATACAATGAATACTGAATCAAATGTATTTATCTAATATTTCAATAATAATTTAATGAAATTATAAAAACATATCTGATTCATTTCTAAATTAACATGACTTACAGGTTGTATCTGAAAATGTATTTTATATTTATCTTCATCTTGGTCAAATTCCTTAAAAATACGAAACTTTGAATCTGCTCCAACAAAGTAAGGTCTGGATACAAGAACTGATACAGCTAAAAATATTCAATTATGTAATTATATATTTAATTTAATTAATAATAAAAAATAATATTTTCTTAACAATAAATCTTTTAAACGAAAACTTAAATATATTTTAATATAATTTATAAATATAAATTGATTCCAAAATTTTATATTTCTATTTGAGTTATAAATTTGAATTTCAGTACATTTACAGCTATTAGTGAGTGGATGGGTGATATGATTTTGTTCAATCACTTTGAAGCTTAACTCCTGTGCCTTTTATCAAAAATTTCTGAAATTTTGCAGGGAAATATATGTATTAGGAGCAATCATGCTATTAAATTTTGGTGGTTAAAGGTCGAGAGGATGGGAAGACAGAAGGTAGTTATAGGTCATATCTCAAGTAGGGTCAGACTTAATGAAATTTTTATTCATTATTAGTATTTACAGTTTTTTATAAAACTCATCTCTATCCTCAAAATTAAGCTTTTTGCCAATTTATAATAATTAATAATATAAAAAATTTTTAAATAAAATCTAATAACAGATGGCACAACACATAATTTTAACTTTTTTGCTGGAAAAGTTCAGCAAGTCTCTGCTGTATTTTTTTATATATTTATTTTGGACATCCTAAATACCAGCAAACTGATAAATAATTATTTTGCTATGTAATAATCTTGTCAAATAAAATTTGAGTTTGAATTTTATCCAAAAACTAAGATTTTTTACAGAATATTTGCACACTACACTATCCGGAACCTGTAACCGGTGCATAACGCGTATATACTATATATCGCTGTTGACAAACATTTTCAAGTGAATATTTAAGAATATTTGCAAATTTTGATTCCTGAAATTCAAATAATTTAAAAATAAAAATGCATGTTTTATCTATAGTTGCAATTAATACATAATAAACTTATTACAGCTCATCTCAATTACTGTTTTTCTGTAGAACAGGTGAGAAATCTATGATCTGCAAAAATTTGTAATCCAGACTACAGTCAGCTATATATTTTCAATATATGAAGTGTAACCATCCTCAGTTACTTATGTTACTTAAACCTATTAACCATGGTTTAACACTTGGTTATTTAAATATATCTGAAAGAGGAGATCAGACTGGAGGCTCAGGTCTGGCAATGCATCTGCACGGTAAGCAGGAGTTGTAGATTTGAGTCCTGCTCCAGGCCAATTCTTTTCTTCCAGAATATTCTAAATTATTTAATAAATATTAATATAATTACAGTCATTAATTTTAATAAGAGATGATACCTAACAACTCCTTCTAAGGGCAAATTATTTAGTAATTAATTAAATATAATCATGAAAAAGTAGCCTGATGTAATCCAGTGGTTGTTTGACTTTACAAATTTATCAGGTTTTGTGATGTTTGTTTATGTAGAAAAACAATTATCAGATCTTTTGTATTTTGATACTGATATTATAAATAAGTAATCTGCTACAAAAATTATATTACTCATTAATATAATTTTAAAATATAGTTTGGCTTCTACCTAAAGAATTTAATAACCCTTCCAAGTTTTCTCAAAATTATAATACTTTATTTTCCACATATTCTCTATTTACACAGAACTAATATTGATACATCTATTTCTATAAATATTAAGTTATCAATTTTTAAGTCATTATATGCATTGATATGCATTATTAGTTAAAAATTTCAAGAAAAAAGTAATAATAAAATTCACTTACCATCTATTAATTTATATGAAAAGACTCCTTTACCATCACACCATTTTTTAATATCACAAAAACATTTTTGTTCAGAGGATGTACTTTGGGTATTGAAAGTATCTGAAGGAACAGTGAATTCCATTGTGGGAATGCCTTCAATCTCTGTATCACGCACATAATCTAGAGTAAATGATCTATTAATAAAGAAATTATTTATGATATTACATCAGAGATAGTTCCTTTTCTTTCATTCTATTATAATATATGAAACAGAACACTGTTTTAAATTTTAGTATATATTGAAAAAATATTAAATAATAATATTCTTTATTTTTTATATTTAATTGTAGTGCAATCAGAAATTTAGCAAGATAGTGCAATTAACATGTGTGAGGTTCCATACTGAGTCCAAACCTGTCTAGTGTGGTTAACACTAGAAAATATATTTTAAAATAGAAAAAAACTGTATTAAATGAATGTGGTGAAGTGATATGAATATAAACGATGTGAGTCCCCAGTGTGACGCAGACACATGTTAAGTAATAAATCAAACTCAGCCTGGGGAGTTTAAACTTTGACTCTGATGTTCATATACAAATGATTAAAGTTAAACTGAGTCAGGAAACAAGGAAGTTTAGCAAAAGGAAAATGTTGTGTTTAATAGTTAACATTCCAAACTGTCAGAATGGAGACCATAATGATCAAAAATATAAGTGCAGGTTTCAAAATTCCATTAACATCTTCCAGTTAATTGAGAGATGGTGTCGAGTTGAATACTGAAGATCAACCTTTCTCATGAACCGATCCAATCTTTTCCACCTGGAAACAAGGGAGAAAACCAATTGAGAAATAACAAGAGGGAATCAGAACCAATTGAAATAAGAAATTCAGGGATAAAATACTTTAAATACTTCAGATTTCAAAAACAAAGGTGAATTTTCCTCTCCCAAGTTCATGAGATGACTTCGTTCTTTTTCTCTGTATTGGTGAATCATTATTTCCAAAATGTCGTTGTCACCATCTTCACTCCACTACCTTCATCATTATCCATCTCCAACTGACCATCATCATTTTGCCATGACTCCTCAAGAGGCCACCAGCAAATATCATCACTCTGAAAGACTGTAAGCCACCAATTTACATTTAATATAAATGGGTTTAAATTTGCAAAGGTGCTTGTGTCAGTATGTTCAATGCCACTACCCATATAGTTCTAAATTCCTTGTACCTCCTGATGTGAGTTTAATTAACTCCCCCTTTCTGAGTCAACAAACCTCACACATGTACAATATACTGTAATTAGGAAATATTGAGCACAAAATACACAAAATTATGTGTTATATGTTTTATTGAATAATATCTCAATAATAACTCACCTTTGTAATAGAGGAACAAAGAATTTTAACTTTACATCTTCATTTATTGGTTGAGGATGGCCAATGCCATCTATAAAAAAATTATGATTATTGAATTTCTATCAGTAAGGTAACAGATAAAAATTAAAAACTATCTTATATACTCAGTTAGTATAAAAAGTCTAGCATAAAAATATTTTGTATTATTCTCATTCTTATTAGAAGATTTCAGTAAGAAATATATAATAGCCTAAAAATTTTTAATTCTCAAAATAGCCAGCCAGAGGTGGGAAAAACCGTTAAGGCATCAGTCTACAGCTCTAGGAATCTGGGATCAAATCTTAGAATTTTTTACATTTTAAGATTGATTTAGTTAACTACTAAGTTAATGGTTTACAAAATCTATTTTGATTTCTCTATTACGACTTCATTTACTCAATTCCTTGTATATTATATTCCAAAATTGAATATATATAAAACAAAATTAAATGCTTTAAATAATTTCTCTTTCTAGACTAACAAATTACAAATGTATATTGTCAAAATATTTTCATAAGCCATTATTACATATTAATTAATTATATGAACAAAATATATTTTGAAAATTTTGTTAATAATCATTATTATACAGAATAAGATTAAGTTTATTAGTTTAATAAAAATGTATAATTTTTATTAAAAATAAACTAAAAAAACAGTCTGAAATGACCTTACCTGATCCATTTATCATGTTACAATATTCATGTGGCCAGATATCCAATTTTCTATTAATTATACAACTTAAATTTTTTCATGAATTTTACATAATATTAAAGTTATAACAAATTATTTTAATTTATATTAAATTCAGTAATTCAAATATTCAAAGAATTACTAAACATTTGAATTACAGAATTTAATAGTTTAACTATTGATAGTGAAGTCACAATCAGTTTTTATTTATACTATGGTATTTCAATATAGTAGATTTCTGTTTTTATGACCTAATTGGTTTGTGGAAAGTTATTATTAAGCAAGAGATAGATAGATAGATAGATAAATAAAAACTGTTAGAGATAGATCAATAAAATTTTGTAGGCATATTTATCTCTACATTGACATGGGAAAACTATGGAGATTTTTAAAAAATAATTACAATTTTCATTATTACGGTATATAACAGCACTACTGTCACAGAATCAAAACAGCAGTGCTATAAAGACATTCTGTAAACTTTTGCCATCCCGAAACTACAGATGAGAGGATGTTTGAGTAACATCATATTTATGCAAGAAGGTGCAAGATCCCACACCACAGTCATTGAGAGAGATGTACTGTCTAACATGTTTGGCAATGAAAGGATAATCAGTCAGTTTTTCCATGTAACAGCCTGTGCATTCACCTGATCTCAAGCTTTGTGACTTCTGGTAATGGGACTATTTGAAAATTAGGATTTATATAGGTGTAACTTGCAGTTTTATGAGAACTAAATAAGCAAATTGAAAGGGAAGCAAGTCTCATTAGTCCTAACATTTTACATTCAGCTGTCATTAATGTAATAACTCAACTGCAATATGTGACTGAGAGTGGCAGAAACATGCTAAACACTTTAATGCTACTGCAACAGTGGTGATGTTATCGACTTCTAGAGGTAAAAATTGCAGGCATTTTTGAAACTCTAACCATAGTTTTCCTGTTTCAAGATATATGTGCCTACAAAATTTTATTGAGATATCTCTAACAGTTTTGACTACAGAGTGGTCTAAAGTGGTACACTTTAATATAGACATTCTATATAATGAATGCATCTCCAGTTATTTAAAAAAATTTGAATTTTCAAATAAATTATTATATATTTTTAATAGCATAAAACTTAAAATGTATTATTTAGTGATAACTACACTTCATATTAATTAAATAAATTATAAAACTTACGTTTTATTGTCTATTGACTGAATCAAACCAAATGCTTTTTTATCTTTGATTCCTGTATTCATTACAATGTTTTTAACAACACTATTATTTTTCTGAAAATCATTACATTAAATAAGATTTATCTTAAAAAAAATTAAAAATAAAGGCTTATATTATCAATATATTTTTGATTTTTTTATTGTTTTAATAATTAACTCCAATGAAAAATAAAGAATATTAAATGATTAAATTTACATTTTCATAATAATGAAACTAATATTTTTAAAAAATATATCTATAATTCTATAGAAAATTTTATAAATTTTTTTATTTATTTCATTAATATAAATAATTTGTTTATCAATTTTATAATTGTAATATAATTATTTGAACTAAATTATTCTTTTCTCAAAGAATGATTCAGTTCAAACAGTTTATATGCTACTTGCTTTGAAAAAGATCTTTCAAAGCAAGTAGCATATAAAAATCACAGAATAAACTAAATTTTATATTATCAACTAAAGTTAACTGTATGTAGTATAACAGTCAAAAGACAGTTTGTTTACTACTGTTATAACTTCTAATACTGCGCGCACACATTTTCTGCTGAAAAAAAAATCATCACTCTTCTTAATACCAGGGTTTAAGTGATGTAATTCTCCAGTCATGTTAATTTTTCTGTTAAGATTCTTACTGTATTTCTGTCGTATAAGAACATGCTGTTATAAATGGGGCAAAATCAGCACTATATTCTACAAAGTACCTAAAAACACTCATTATTTTTAAAAAGACTTTTATAGCATAAGAAACAATTTTTTTTGGGGCTTTCTATTTTTAATAATGATTACTACAGAGTTGTCACTGAATAGTTACTGTATCAGTACATTTACATTTGATTTTCAATGACACAGCAGTACTGTACATTATTCTTATAAGCCAATATTTAATTAATAAAACCTAACTGTATGGTATACCTTGATGATTACATGTTACAATGATTTACAATATAAATTATGTATTTCCCTGACAGTGTCTCATGTGCCATATAAATACTGTACCAGTTATGTATGGAAGCATCCTCTGACGTATTACTTTTGAATATATATATATGTAACTAAAAAATTAATCTTCATAAAAATTGTGTGAGATTTTTTGATTAATGAGTGAAAGATCAAAATTCTTACCTTATAAAACAGACCAAATGTAGCATCTGGTAAATACTTATAGACAGCATCATCAATTTCAGCAAGTTCTTCCAAAAAGTCTATTTTATAACCAAAGAGTAACTGTTTTACTTGAAGCTTCTTAAAAATTTCGACGTCATTTGATTCGAGTATATTTTCAATAAATGAAGCTATATCTGAATATTCCTTATCAATAATTCCTGCTATCCCCTATGTTAAATAAATCATAAAATAAATTACATTTCAGCATTCTATTAAAATGTAATTAATTCTCTAAAATTATCAAAGATTTCATATACAATAGAACTCATGGAAATTGCAAATATAATCAGAATCAAATAATATTTTAAAGAAAGCTTCAAATTAAAAAGTCAGTATAATTATAGATCCACTTCTTGATTTTCCAACATTCTTAATTCTGAAGCCTTGTTTGCGAGATAAACTGAGATCATGTAAGCAGATTCAAATGAAATAAATGAACTGGATCATGAAATTAGTCAAAATGCAGCACAGACTCACTACAACCTTTTCAGGGAAGTATTAGCGAGATTGAGGCTGAAGTTTTAAATGCAAAAACATGTATGTTGGACGTTCAGTGCTGCTTTCCTGTAAGCCTAGCAGTTTGACAATGGTGTTTGGACAGTCAGTGGAATCATGCTCAACATTCCAAACACCATTGTCAAACTGCTAGGCTTATACGAAAGCAGCACTGAACATCCGACGTACACGCTTTCACATTTAAAACTTCAGCCTCATATTAATATCTCAGCTATTAATATCAAAAATAGATGATTTCAAAAGCATTTTGAAATCATCTATTAGCATCACTATCACTATTACTACTAGCATTTACAATTTTTTATAAAACTCATTCTTACCCTCAATATTAAGCTTTTTGCCACTTTATAATAGTTAAAAATATAAAAAGTTTTAAATAATAAAATATGATAATAGATGGCATCACCAAATGTTGCTGGGAAAGTTAAGTAGCTCGTTCCTGGTTATTGATTTATTTATCCTTGTTTACTGGTTGTTTATTTATTATTTTCATGGAAGTATATTTTGAGTACTTTCATAAAAATAATAAATAAACAACCAGTAAACAAGGATAAATAAATCAATAACCAGGAACGAGCTACTTAACTTTCCCAGCAACATTTGGTGATGCCATCTATTATCATATTTTATTATTTAAAACTTTTTATATTTTTAACTATTATAAAGTGGCAAAAAGCTTAATATTGAGGGTAAGAATGAGTTTTATAAAAAATTGTAAATGCTAGTAGTAATAGTGATAGTGATGCTAATAGATGATTTCAAAATGCTTTTGAAATCATCTATTTTTGATATTAATAGCTGAGATATTAATATGAGGCTGAAGTTTTAAATGTGAAAGCGTGTACGTCGGATGTTCAGTGCTGCTTTCGTATAAGCCTAGCAGTTTGACAATGGTGTTTGGAATGTTGAGCATGATTCCACTGACTGTCCAAACACCATTGTCAAACTGCTAGGCTTACAGGAAAGCAGCACTGAACGTCCAACATACATGTTTTTGCATTTAAAACTTCAGCCTCAATCTCGCTAATACTTCCCTGAAAAGGTTGTAGTGAGTCTGTGCTGCATTTTGACTAATTTCATGATCCAGTTCATTTATTTCATTTGAATCTGCTTACATGATCTCAGTTTATCTCGCAAACAAGGCTTCAGAATTAAGAATGTTGGAAAATCAAGAAGTGGATCTATAATTATACTGACTTTTTAATTTGAAGCTTTCTTTAAAATATTATTTGATTCTGATTATATTTGCAATTTCCATGAGTTCTATTGTATATGAAATCTTTGATAATTTTAGAGAATTAATTACATTTTAATAGAATGCTGAAATGTAATTTATTTTATGATTTATTTAACATAGGGGATAGCAGGAATTATTGATAAGGAATATTCAGATATAGCTTCATTTATTGAAAATATACTCGAATCAAATGACGTCGAAATTTTTAAGAAGCTTCAAGTAAAACAGTTACTCTTTGGTTATAAAATAGACTTTTTGGAAGAACTTGCTGAAATTGATGATGCTGTCTATAAGTATTTACCAGATGCTACATTTGGTCTGTTTTATAAGGTAAGAATTTTGATCTTTCACTCATTAATCAAAAAATCTCACACAATTTTTATGAAGATTAATTTTTTAGTTACATATATATATATTCAAAAGTAATACGTCAGAGGATGCTTCCATACATAACTGGTACAGTATTTATATGGCACATGAGACACTGTCAGGGAAATACATAATTTATATTGTAAATCATTGTAACATGTAATCATCAAGGTATACCATACAGTTAGGTTTTATTAATTAAATATTGGCTTATAAGAATAATGTACAGTACTGCTGTGTCATTGAAAATCAAATGTAAATGTACTGATACAGTAACTATTCAGTGACAACTCTGTAGTAATCATTATTAAAAATAGAAAGCCCCAAAAAAAATTGTTTCTTATGCTATAAAAGTCTTTTTAAAAATAATGAGTGTTTTTAGGTACTTTGTAGAATATAGTGCTGATTTTGCCCCATTTATAACAGCATGTTCTTATACGACAGAAATACAGTAAGAATCTTAACAGAAAAATTAACATGACTGGAGAATTACATCACTTAAACCCTGGTATTAAGAAGAGTGATGATTTTTTTTTCAGCAGAAAATGTGTGCGCGCAGTATTAGAAGTTATAACAGTAGTAAACAAACTGTCTTTTGACTGTTATACTACATACAGTTAACTTTAGTTGATAATATAAAATTTAGTTTATTCTGTGATTTTTATATGCTACTTGCTTTGAAAGATCTTTTTCAAAGCAAGTAGCATATAAACTGTTTGAACTGAATCATTCTTTGAGAAAAGAATAATTTAGTTCAAATAATTATATTACAATTATAAAATTGATAAACAAATTATTTATATTAATGAAATAAATAAAANATTGCCAGACCTGAGCCTCCAGTCTGATCTCCTCTTTCAGATATATTTAAATAACCAAGTGTTAAACCATGGTTAATAGGTTTAAGTAACATAAGTAACTGAGGATGGTTACACTTCATATATTGAAAATATATAGCTGACTGTAGTCTGGATTACAAATTTTTGCAGATCATAGATTTCTCACCTGTTCTACAGAAAAACAGTAATTGAGATGAGCTGTAATAAGTTTATTATGTATTAATTGCAACTATAGATAAAACATGCATTTTTATTTTTAAATTATTTGAATTTCAGGAATCAAAATTTGCAAATATTCTTAAATATTCACTTGAAAATGTTTGTCAACAGCGATATATAGTATATACGCGTTATGCACCGGTTACAGGTTCCGGATAGTGTAGTGTGCAAATATTCTGTAAAAAATCTTAGTTTTTGGATAAAATTCAAACTCAAATTTTATTTGACAAGATTATTACATAGCAAAATAATTATTTATCAGTTTGCTGGTATTTAGGATGTCCAAAATAAATATATAAAAAAATACAGCAGAGACTTGCTGAACTTTTCCAGCAAAAAAGTTAAAATTATGTGTTGTGCCATCTGTTATTAGATTTTATTTAAAAATTTTTTATATTATTAATTATTATAAATTGGCAAAAAGCTTAATTTTGAGGATAGAGATGAGTTTTATAAAAAACTGTAAATACTAATAATGAATAAAAATTTCATTAAGTCTGACCCTACTTGAGATATGACCTATAACTACCTTCTGTCTTCCCATCCTCTCGACCTTTAACCACCAAAATTTAATAGCATGATTGCTCCTAATACATATATTTCCCTGCAAAATTTCAGAAATTTTTGATAAAAGGCACAGGAGTTAAGCTTCAAAGTGATTGAACAAAATCATATCACCCATCCACTCACTAATAGCTGTAAATGTACTGAAATTCAAATTTATAACTCAAATAGAAATATAAAATTTTGGAATCAATTTATATTTATAAATTATATTAAAATATATTTAAGTTTTCGTTTAAAAGATTTATTGTTAAGAAAATATTATTTTTTATTATTAATTAAATTAAATATATAATTACATAATTGAATATTTTTAGCTGTATCAGTTCTTGTATCCAGACCTTACTTTGTTGGAGCAGATTCAAAGTTTCGTATTTTTAAGGAATTTGACCAAGATGAAGATAAATATAAAATACATTTTCAGATACAACCTGTAAGTCATGTTAATTTAGAAATGAATCAGATATGTTTTTATAATTTCATTAAATTATTATTGAAATATTAGATAAATACATTTGATTCAGTATTCATTGTATGAAGAATACAGTGGAAATTAGTGCAAGTAATGAAAAGCTTAATTTAATTATATTGGTGTTCAATATTTTAAAAATTATATTATTATTAAAAGGCTAATAAAAATAAATTGATATAATTGCTGGCATAATATTGGATTTTAAACCAGAAAGTAATTGCTTCTTGTGGCTACATGTTAAAAATTTTATTTTTATATAAATTGAACCATATTATGTATTAAAATAATTTGTGTTTAAATTATATTTACAAGAAGTTTTAAATTAAATGTTTACTTTTCACCTAACAATCATTTCAATTTTCTAATATTAAAATTATTTTTGAATAGTTTTTTACACAATAAAAATTGAATTTTCCATAGATTCACTTCTATTTCAATTTTCTACTTTTTTTTAATAATCAATTGAATATCATATTTTACTGAATTAAAGGCTTTTATTTTATAATTGTGGAATTTGGTATAGTGTTTGTTATTCTGAAAGTGAATTATTAAAAGAATTTTATTATAGATTATATAATTAAGAGGCAAAACAGACTGAGTAGAAAACAAAAACAGATTAAAACAACAAAACAATAAAGCTTTCTAATATAATAATAGATGAATGAAATTATTATGCTAAGTTAATTCAAGTAAATAAAGCCAACCAGTTTATTGAGATATTAAAATTGTTTTTCAACTAGTATCAGTTTTTTATTCTAAAAATAAAACCATTTGATGTAAAGTTTTCTTTATGTACATTCTAATAGAATGATTAAAAATAAGCTGTTAAACAATAAATTCTTGAATGCAGTGTGTAGCGTCTGTGTAATCCAAAACTAGTTGGTAGACGAACGGACAGCAATTGGTTAGAAAACGTATGTTTTATTTAAAAAATTCCTTTTTTAAATAAAACGGAATTTTTAAAGGAAATTAAGGGAATTTTTAAAAGGAATTTTTTAAATAAAACGTACGTTTTCTAACCAATTGCTGTCCGTTCGTCTACCAACTAGTTTTGGATTACACAGACGCTACACACTGCATTTGATGATACAGCAACCACGTCCTCTACATTAATAAATTCTTGCTTATTGAAATATAAAATAATATAAACAACACCTTTTTATACAATTAAATGTTTTTGCTGGACCGTTAGAAAGGTGTTATTTATATTATTTTATAATAAGCTGTTATATAATTTATAAAGAAATAACAATAACAAATCACATCAGAATCAATATTTTATACTAGTACTGTATCTTACAGTGCAATATATCATTTTCAAGTTCTGGGAGTCTACATACTGATTAGGTTCTGTCATTTTGATATTGTTAGCAGAATGTCCTTCAGTAGTATATTTGTTTATTTGTTACTTCATTAATAATATACTATGATCATTCAATATCACCATATATATATATTAAGCTTGCCAACTCTCAAAGAGTTAATTCCAGGTTTTCCATTTTAAGAGTAAAAAGTTTCAGGAGACTTGATGTTTTTATTCTCAACAATATCAAAATACTGTTATCTGTTCTTTTGTCTATTTTAATATATCAATATAATCTAAAGTGGATCAAGTTGTCAAGTAAATATGGGAAGAATAGGAGTCTGAGATCTTAAGAATTTTTGTCAAATTCTAGGAGTCTTCTAGTAAGTCTGAGAGAGTTGACAATCCTAATATATATATAAGTTTAATGTGCTAGTTCCATTTTCATTTTCTGATTGCACATTATCTACAGCAAATATACTTTTTAAGATGAACTTTTTAATCTATTCATGGATATTGTACTGCAGCAGTATATTGTTTCATATTTATGAGATAGTTTTTTATAAATTTCAAAATTTTTTATTCTTTCTGATTTTGAAAGTTAGATATAAATACTGTTTGTTGATACAATTGATACCTGCTGATAGAAGTGTCATCAATCAAGTTTGATTGATTATTATCTTGTTTGTTTAATGTTAACAAGCCCTGACATTTGAAATCGCTTTGTAGACATACGAGTATATATTCCGAATGTAGGTCAATGGTGCCTGTTTGTGTGCACTTTGAGGCTCTAATACTCAAAGAAAATTTGGTGGATGCAGTGCAGTTTTCTTAGTGGATGCTGGATGAATTGTGATTTATCATTATGATGAATCCAGATGTAGCAGAACAATCTGTATTGTGCTGGCCATGTAAAAAGAAAGTAAAAACACATTGAGTGCAGTATTAATTGTTAATGCCGCACTCAATGTGTTTTTACTTTCTTTTTATATGATATTTGGTGTGAGGTTTAAGCTATACTGTGCTGGTCATGTTTAGTGTGCATATGATTTTTTTTGGTAAATTTCCAAGACAGGTCCATAGGAACAGGTCTAGCTGGACAGACCACTTTTTGCTTCAACCATTACAAATACAATTCTAATTCCAAATCATTTGCTAGCATGCAGCAGATTCCAACCAATAGATGTTTTCATAGTGGAAAGGGTTATTCCTAATGTACTATATTCCTCTCCCTCACCAACATACATATCTATACCCAGGACATGTGTGTTGCTACACACAGCAACACAAATGTTGAAGTGAAATTATAACTGTTGAAAGTGAAATCTTTATAAAGAAACTAAGAGACCCTAGTCATAATCATGGCCATGCTGTCTCTTTTTTTGGGTCTGACCACTTTCCCCTTCCTGTAGTCCTGCATGATGTTCCATTCAATATATTTATTTATTTTTTCACAATTTGTGTAGTCTGCATGAGGATTAGCCATTTTGTTAGCAGCTTCTAAAGATTTGAAAGGCAGGAATTGAAGGATGAACTCTGTTCTTGAATTATTATTGTTTACTTTCCAAACATACTTCTAAAACTAATGTTAGATAGCATTAGGATTTTTTAAGTGTATCATATGTAAAGTGTTATTTATAAATATCTTACTTAATAGTAAAATTAAAGTTTATTCTCAATATGCAGTTGATTACCAAAATGTAAGTCAAACATATAACCTGAGCATTTACAAGAATTATGAAAATTCAGTGCTACCAGCTTAGATACTATAATTAATTTGTAAAAAGGCCTGCAAATTGATTAAATTCAACATGTTTTGCTTATTAATGTTTAAATGATAACATTTTTACAATCTGGGTTTTCCAGATTAATATTGATTTAACGAAGTTAAATGAAAACATACAGTCAATTCTTGTTACATCCCTAATAATCTAAAAGTTAGGTTTTTAGTAAAATCTTATAACAGCAGGAAAAGTTTTGCAACTCATTGTTGGATATTGTTTTCTATTTTAAGATTTTATGTTACATAATGTGAATGATAATTGTACAGTAGTTATATAGCTTGTAAACACTAGCAATGAAAAGTAAACAAAACAACTGAAACCAATTTTCAGCACAAATTTATCAGAAAGCAAACGTTTTTGACTGTATGTTGGTTGGTTTTGGAATTGGTTTCAGTGGTTTTGTTTATTAATTGTATCTAGTTTTGAGATGTTGATTACTATCAATGAAAATATTCATTTTTGATTATAAAGAATTATAAACATCTGCATAACTTTATTCGTCTTATTAGAAATTTATGCAGAATTATTTTGTAAAACATACTCATTGCCTTCAAATTTTCTTGATTAAACAAGAAATAGTTATATTTGTTCTATATTTAATTTAGTAAACTATTTATTTTTGATTTCTTTTTTAGTTAATTGGTTTTACTCTTCAAATGGCTTTTACTCTACAGTTGAATATAGTTGTCAAACAATCAGATAATCTCTGGTAAGTCTAAAAATTGAATTTTTTTCAAATAAAATTTTTACAATCTCAATATAACTTTTAATTTTATTTAAGGTATCTTAGAAAAATGAATGAAACAGTTTTTCCAGTTGCATGGTTTACACAGGTTTGTTTCAAAACATTAAAATGTTTTATAAGGAAATAATAAAAGAATCCAATTTATAGTAAAATCATCAAATGAAACAGAAAAGTAACACGAAAAACTCAATGGATTTGCTTTTAGCTAATAAAATTTAATTATATTATTACATAATTAACGAGTTTAATAATTACAGTAAAACCTGTCAATTTGGCCAACCCCATATTTTGAACACTTTCATATGTAACCTGACAAATATCTTTACTTTTACATGTACTGTATATGATACTCTATATCTTGGACACCTTTCTATCTTGAATTTTGGACATCTTTTCTGATTTAAGTTGACATATTCACAAATTTTTCTTTCTAATTTTTAACTGTTGAGTTATCCTGTACAGATGTCCTGTTTTAAGGTCTTATAAATTAAAAGCTAATAAGGAAACATGACAAACTTCATGGATGTCTGCGGAATATTTTCTAGGGGAAGAAGCTTGGAGACAAATAATTATGTCGTTAAATTTTTATTTTATTTATTATTATTTTTGGTTTGTTTCACAAGTACATTGTAGAATATAGTACTGTGTCAAAGTGTCTCATAATCAAGGGTATAAGTGTACATATCTCAATCACTTTTATGATTATAATTTATAGAATTTTTTTATTTGACGTTAGGAAAGGACGAGTATCCCTTTGCCTCCTTGTAGATGCTCATGACAAATACCTTTTGTATGGCATTTGGGAAGATTTTCACATTTCTGATCACAATAGTATAAGGCATCATTTCTTCCTAGAGATCAGGGCTGCCATTTTAGATTATGTACCATATTGGTTACTTCAACATCAATTTTTGCACCCAAAAAATTATGCTGGCTATAAATTTGGCTATAAATTTAGCTCTGGAGAAAAAAATGATGGCTTTTGTTCATTGCTAATTGGTATTCATGGTTATAAATATGATTTGCATTTTAATGCATTTCTGAATCTACATCACAGTGTAGTACATATAATTGTAAATTGAGTGTAAATTGCACATATATTTGGGATCAATTTTGGGTTCTCCAGGTTATCTGCCTTAGCTATCAAACCATCATGTGAGCATTGCCCACCAATGGTCATTTGGATAAAATCACTGAACACTGGACCAACTTTTCATGGGTTCACTCCCTATTAACAGACTGGAGTGTGAAGTTTCTCAGGTTTTTTTCTCATGTCTAACATCTAAATAGAGGCCAATTTCCTATAGAAGATTTTTCCAGGAAAGATTTTCCTTGGCAGATTGTCCATGTGTGTTGCATTGCCATATCTCATTAAATCAGTTATGTAACTATTAGTCCTTTTCAAAATACACTATAATGATTTAAAAGTGTGTTAAAATAAAGCTAAAGCAAGATTAAATGATTGTGATTGTGATTGTGACTGTGTTCATGTTTAAAATGTTAATACTGTACAGTATCGAAAGAAAAATTAATTTGATAATGTTATTCATTCAACAGAAGCATATTAGAAGATTTACACTATGCCAGCAAACTTAGATTAATTTCCTTGCTTTCAAGACAAAAACTACTCATTCTGTATGCATGTATCTAAATTGGACACATTCTTATGAACCAAGGGTGTCCAACGAAAGAGGTTTTACTGTTTATTGATACAAAGAAATATAATAAAATTTTAATGAATTTCATAGCGTCATAATAATTTTTAGGTTGAATATAATTAGCATTGTTTAGTTATATTTAGCTTGAATTTTGAGGAAGAAGAAGCTTATTAATACATGACTGCTGAAAGCTGGTTAATATGTAAAATCCAACCAACTCAATAACCTAAAACCAGCAAAATTTCACTTACTAGTCAAGCAAACATTTTCATTCAATTGAAAGTGGTTGAAAATATTTGACTAATAAGCAAAATTTTGCTTGGTTTTTGGGTATGGCGTTGTCTTTTAAAGTTTATTAATTTCTTTCTTCATGTTTTAACATTTGATATATTGAATATAATGTATGAAAAAATAATTTGAAATGACCTTTTTATTTGAAAAACATTGAGTTATTTTAAATTGTTTGTTTCATAATTTTATTATAGGCCTATAAGGATCCAAACAAAAAGAATTTTCTCTGATTATAATTATTATCAGTTACAGTAGTAAACTAATTGGAAGCAAGAAGGTTCATGGGTCGTGCAGAGTGGTCGATATAACATTATAGGGAGGTCGATTATCAAGCTTAAGCTAAGGATAAGGGAAAGCTAAGGATCAAGCTTATCCGTCTCACTGATTGTCAGTTACAAAAATTATTATTAACAATTATAAATAAATGAAAATAATGCAAAATTAAAAGAAATGTATTAATAGTAAGTGCTTTTTTTGCTTGTAATACGAACTTTTTGGTGGGGATCAATGTGAGGTTTCGAAAACTTGTAGGGGGTCGATGATCAAAAAAGTTTGGTGACCCTTGGCTTAGTAATCAAATTGTTCATAAAATCAATGTTCAAATTCTACTAAAAGTATACTCACAACTATATTACTTTATACAAAGTTATATTTTTAACCTCTTATTAAATTTAAACAAATCACAAAAGTTTGGGTTTGAGTTATTGCGCAACATTCTTATGTACTCTCCATACATATCATTTCCACAGTTACAAAACATATGAAAGTACCATTCACTATACCTACATAGCTGATTACAGATTGTACATGCAGGAGTGCCTCTACTTGATATAACACAATTTAACCTAAGCCTTGCTATCTATTTCTTCTCCACAATAGAGTATCTAATATCTGTTAGATAACCTGCCATGCCAAAATTGGGCTTTACAATACTGTAATATCTTAACAACCCAGAATTGATCAAAACTCTCCTCATCTCCTGTAACTCAATTCTATACATCTCATTACTATGGTTGGAATTTACTCCTTCCATCTGTCAGCCTGTTTCTCGCTAACAATCTCACTGAATCCCAACTACTCCAACCAATTTTTAAAGTTTGTCCACCAAGAGCTGCTTTCCACTTTTGTCCACATTCTTACCATACTAATTATAGGTAGCCTAACTTCAGGTAATTCCAGTATTCATGTAATACTTTAAAACAGCTTTTATAAAAAAGATTCTCAGTGGTACCTGTCCAGTTTCCCATAAAACAGCAACATTCGATGCACGAAATCTCAATTGCAGCATTTTCTTCAAAAAATCTCTATGAATTAGCTCAGAGGTATTGACATTCCCCAGATCCCAAACCTGAAAAAAAAGATTTAACTGTCAAATCAAATAATCTGAGGTGTGGGGAACATGAGGATACCTTGAGATATTAAATATTTTACATAACTTCACCAAAGCAAAGAATGTAGAGATCACAAAAAGGGGGAAACTGCCTCTCCTTAGCGCATTGACACAGTATGTGTGTTGTCTAACTGAGTGTGGTGACACTATGTATGTCATGTCCTTCAAGACTAGGGATTATATTAATCTTCGTCTTTCAATCAATCATTCTGATTGGTCAATCTCCATCTGCACTTTCCGACTGGTTGGTCCTTCGATACTAAGTGTAATGGGATCCCAACTTGGAGCATGGGAAAGGTCAAACTTAAAGCTGAATTCGATCTCCCAACCAGAGATGGTCGATCATAGGACTACATTCCTTTTAAAATTTACAACTCTGCATCACATTTAAATGTAAACAAAATTATGTCTGACTATAAACATTTCTTTTTCCTTGCTGTTTAAAACAAATAATTTTTTCTAAATCAACTAAATTTTCACAAATTTCTTGATGGTTCGGACTTGTTTGGGACCTCACATTTATACATGGAAATATCTTATTCCTGGCTTACATTTGGGATTTCTCAAGAATAGGAAAATTTCTCAAGAAGAAAAACCTAACTTATGATTATAACTCAAGATCAATTGCTAAAATGAAAAATTATAAAAAGTATATTTTAAAGAATATAATATTTGCTGGTATAGATGATGATATATAATTATGAAATAATAGCATATTGTAAAATTAGTGGTAAACACATATTGTATATCACTTAGGAAAGGCACTAAATAAAGGCAGTTTTTGCCTATTTACTGTACACAATGATAATAATAACTATAGCCAAATTATGATTACATTGAGTGAAGTATATAGCATTAAACAAATGATATGATTACAATAAATGGATTCTACTGTTTTTAAATATTTTCTTCCTAATTGTATTTAATATTAAAATTTTAACAAATTGGAACATAAGTTATAATTGAAGGGGTAAGTGGACAAGTGGTACAAGTGACAAAAAATTTTTCTTTATTTAAAGTATAAAAAAGTATTAATTTAAATAAAAAAAAGATAATAAATGTCATTAATATTTAAGTAAATGTGTCTATTTATTTATTTAATTTAATAAAATATGATTTTTTAACCAATGTTAAATTTTATCACTAATATATTCAGGTTATGTGTTTTGTTACTTGAACCACTTTTCTACCGAACCCCTCAATTGTGTTTATGAACAATTACCGGTACATTTTTGTGTAACTGATATATATGCTATTAGTTCAGTATCCATGATACAGATGTATAACAACAACAAAAATATTACAGAAATCTTGAAAATAAAATTACTTTTGTCTTTATTTCTTAGGTATCTTCAAACCAACACATTTGTTCTAATATTGTGCCAATAAATTTTATATTTAAATTATAAATAAAATTTATAATAATATTATATCTAATATTTGCATAATTTTATTTCCTATATTGCTTTGCTCTTAATATTAGACAGCTGATTTACCAGAAGATTTTGCAAAAGAAGTTTATGACATGATTATGACACCACAAATATATGGAAAATATGCAGTGATGCTTGTGATAGGACTTGGAATTATGGGAATATCTTCAGCAATACTTAATAATATATATCCAATGATAAAGGTAAATCAATATATATTTTAATTACAACTATTTAAAATTTTAAAGTTTAATCTTAAATGAGAAAACTAGCAAAGAAAAACTTAAAAGTAGAACATAATTACAAGGAAACTACTGTATATACTTCTGTATATGCAGGTACCTTCTTGAAATAATAGACTTCATTAAGCTTAATAACTGACAAACAAATATATCTTAAATGGGATCTTAAAACCTGTAATCTTGCAAACAAGAAAGAAAGCTTTAATTAACTATTTCACTAGATTTATTAATATTATGGTACAAACTGATCTGGAAAGTTTTGTATTGATATATAGCCTACAATTTTAGGTTCAAAGTGGTAAAATAAATTTAAAATTAAATAAAAGTAATGCAAAGTTGACCTGATTGTGATGTAAGAAATCTCAAATAATTATTTTGTTTGTATTTATAATCATATTTACTAAATCAAGGAATCATACCTAACTTAAATACATGTATTTAACATTAGTTAGATTGTGATTTCTCTTCCATATAACATTCCTGACATGAAGTGAAAATTATTTTTGTCAAATCAAGGAATATTAGAGATAAAATAATAAGATAATAATTAGAGA